ACTCCCTTATCAAAACATTTATTGCTGTCATCCAGTTGTTAATCTTCTGCCTGGGGGCTTGGCAAAGATCTTTATCTATCAACATGCTTGAATGACTTCAATGTTTAAACTGCATAATTGATTGGTTTATTACTTTCCAGAGCTCTAATGACATTAATAGTCACAGATAGTGGTAAATAGATGTGTTACATTTTACACCATATTTTACTATCTTAGTTTTTTCCATTTTCTTTGTGAAAGTCCTATAATTAAGAAATTGAAAATTATTATTTGCAAATTAAAAAGGAGGCGAGTTTTATGAAGATAATATAAAGGAATCGCGTTTCAATAACTAGTTTTACTTAGATTGTTATAAAGACGAAATGTTTGGTCATTTGCTTTTAATAACCTTCTATGACAGTTATATTTTTGAATAAAATCTGGATTCAATTATGGAAAAAAAATCTTATTGAATATTTGTGTTTGAAATTATGTTTTTGTACAATAGAAAAGCAGTTTTTTTAATACCACTTTACTTGCAAAATCGTCTATTATTCAGGTATGTAAATTTATCAAGTGTTTGAAATTATTTTTTATAACGGTCATATGTCAGACACCCCCCCCCCCCGGAAAACATGTTCTGTACTCGCCCCTGGTACGCCTTCTAATTAATAAATATTAACTATACAGTACGGTACTGTATAGCTGTTACAATCTGTAAACGTGTTTACGCTTAATACGTTTATGCATACTTCGTTTGAAACGCCATTTGAATTTGCTGGCATGATGTGCCAATCGCATTGATAATTTGTACATATATAAATCGGTGTGAAAAGATAAATTAGACCTTTTAAAGTTCATTCCGTTGGGTAAAAAGGCAATATTTTAGCATTTTATCATTCAAGCGCCTTGTCCTGTATATAGTGTGGTGCTCCAATCCTTTTTTTAGTCTCAATCATTTGGTGTACGTTTGCATTTTAGACCTAGCCAAATTATTTTTGTTTACTTCCGGTTTCATAACACGTGTTTTCGCAAACAGAAAAATCTCTGCGATGGATCGAAGTAATACTCACAAGAAGAAAACTAAACATCGGAATACACAAGAAAATGATTCGTTGAATTATTACAAAAGAATTGAAGACATACTGCGATCAAGCGGTGACAAAGATGGGAACTTGTTGAATGGTAATTGGTATTATTGAACAGTTGAATAGACCCCCTGGCCTTGGTTCTTTTACATGCTCAGTGTATAGCACTGATACATGCGATGATTAACAGGATTTCTTACAAGTACACCTCTAGGTAGATGGAAAACACTGAAAGTGTCACTGTGACTGAAAAATCCAAAAGGTGTTACCCAGGATCAAACCCAGGACCTCAGGAGTGATAGTCAGTGGTCTTACCATCTGAGATCGCGCCACCTGTTTTTTTAAGAATGGTTAGCAGGTACATAGTTCTGGCTTCTATAAAGTATTCTGTCAATTTTACTTTGACGTTGTGTGACTGTAAAGGTCTAACCGTCTAACAGTACAAGAAAACCTGTTAGCTGAAGTGTCTTTAGCTAGTAAAGAGGTAAAGGTCAGTTCCACTGTCTGACCCTAATCACGTCTTGCTCAGCCTTTGTTAATTCTCATTAAGTTTTAACAGACATAGATCTATCTATGTCATAAGATGGATTTGATTCAATTCATATGTGAATCAATTAAAACAAATCCCATTTATCAGTCTATTAATCACGGTGCATATCCATATCGGTACCCTCTTTGCGAAATCTGCTCAAACTGTACCCTCTTTGAACATGCACAGGTCATTCTCTGCTAAAAACAAACCAGCGATGGATAACAATCCAGAAAATTTTCATTGTAATAGGGAAAGGAGGTATGACACGTAGAAAAGGTGTATACCACGAAACACTAGAATGTTTTATTTATGTGCTGATTTGTCATGTGCCCGATTTTCATGTACTGCAACTTCACAATAAGCTACAAAATCGACATGTCTTGCCTCGCCCATCACCTCAACATATTTTTCGGGCTGAAATGAACTTGTGGCTTGATTATATATGCATCATTATTCATACATATTTAATATGTTCATATATATATCATCTTCGGACAAATGGCAGTATATTGTCAAAAATAAATGTAAAATTCATAAAAACACCCTACTTTCGGTTTTGCAGCGGAACGGGAAACCCCTCTTCATTTGAATTATTATATCACAGGTACCCTCTCATTTTTTAACACATTGGTACCCTCAAAGCACGACATATGCTTTTATTTGCATTAATCGTTAAGTATGTATGTAATATTTCTTACTTTTATGTAAGTATTACATACTTAGCAATTAACGCACATAAAAGCATACGTCATTCTATCAAGTCTTGTTAAAAGAAAGTAAATATTGCTACCTAAAATGTAAGTTTTTCATGTATCATCTGTATCTTCATGGTTTTTTACATATAGCTGTGCTATATTTAAAAGCCAAGTTTGACATTTTAAGTTACACTTAGTAAGTGATTTTCGGTATTGCTGGACTAAAAACCTGTTTTAATAACTTATATTACGATACCATGATTAAAATTTTATTGTAAAATAGGGGATTTTGTGTCATGTCAGAAACTAATAGATTTTTTGTATTGTCCACATACTAGGTTTAAGAGTTCACTGCGTTCTACCGAGTGGTTCATGTAGAGAACTTGGCGTGATTACCTAGAATGATTTGAGACAATCATGTACATTTAACATGTAAATACAGACTCTTTACTTACTGTAAAACAGCCGTCCAAAAATGTTCTCAATGTCTCTTAATTACAAGTCAAATAAGATGAACTGAGCTAGATTTGACAAGTAACGGTAGGGAGTTCCAGAGTTTTAAAGTCCATACGAAAGAGCTAGTATGTAGTTGATTTAAGAACTTCTTAGAAGAGTGGGAAATATTATTCAAGTTTCTGATGGGGATAAGGTGTCTTACTGTTAATATTCCAATTAATTTATTAATATTCCACCACATTCTTACATCAAAGCAAACATAACTTTGAATAATGTAAATTGTAAGCTCATAAATGAAAATAGTGATCAAGTATGATAAAAGCAATTAATTTAGGTGTTAATGCTTAATGTTATTTTAGAAATAAATATCATAAAATTGGAACAAAGCAGGGTCAGGGTGTGTGGCAAGCGTGCTAATATTATTTATTCTTTCTTGTCTTCCCTTAAAGCAGCACGCCTCCAGATTCATGCTAATTTTCATGAAAATTTGAAAAAATATTAAACAGTGTAATATTTTAAAGTTACCAAAAGAATGCAATTTACACATTATCAATGGCACTTACAACCTATGTTAATTACTACAAAGAGGCCAAAATAAAAATTCAATGCAAATAAATTTTTCAAGCTAGCCCTGCTTTTCCTTCTTTTCCAACTTCTCTATTTTTTGGTTAAACACAGTCCTACATTGTACTTTTCCCTACTTTTATATTGAAATGTTGTACTATCCCTTCTTTTAAATTAAAAGTTGTCAATATGAAACTTGAAATACTTGCTTACATGCATCATGATAAGGTGCAGTTGTAAGGTAAGGAGCATAACTCTGAAAGCAATAGACTTTTGAGTTATGCCCCTTTAAACTTAGAATTTTTAACAGTCAAGTGTTAACATATTAACTTAACAATGTATTTGGTGCTCTTGTTTGATATATAAACTTGTACATGTATATATGATTTTAATCTTTATATAGTTGCCTTATGTTATAATTGATCTATAATATGCTTTAATATTTTTTATTTCTTTCAGAGGATTTTCTAGACAATGTTTTCTCCCAGTTGGCGGAAGAAGCTAAAGATGTCTGCCAGAGTCCGGAAATCAGTCCGATAATTGAAAAACTTGTAACAAAGGGCTCTGCAACACATATACAATCCCTTGCCAACGTGTTCTCTAAAGACTGGTCCAATATTTGCCGACACAAGTGCTCTAGTCATGTACTACAGAAACTTTTGATGGTTATACCGAAGTTTATACAGGAAAAAGTGATGAGTTTTGACTTTGAAAGTGACATAACAGAAGGAGGAGCAGAATCAGTGGAGGATAGTTTAATAAGAACAGTTCTACAGCTGGTAGATTTTATGATTGAAAATATCGAGGATTGTGTTAATGATGTATATCTATCACACATATTCAGGACCATTTTGCAGGTGATAGGGGGAACTTGTGTTGGCGAAAAGGTGCTTAAAAGTCGCACATCAAGGAATTATGGGAAGAAATTCCGGGCTGATGACCAAGAAGGTACAGGTCTATGTTAGCTAAATTGTAATAATCCCTCTGCATTGAATGTACATTGTTTATTTGAAGGATTTTCAGGATCAAAATGTTTAAAATTAAGCAGTTGAAAGCCTATAATCAGCATGCTCTATGCTGCCAGCTAGTGATGTTCTGATTGTCGCAAGTCGCCGATAATCAGTTACTGTTATGTAAAACGACAATAATCGATTCACAGAAATTTGTTCCGCGACATCGTCGAAAATGTTTAGTGTATCAAAGGGAATTAATTCTGATGGTAATTTTCTTTTAGGAACACCTCGCCGATCGCATAAAAAAAACTCAGAGACAATTACGAGTTGAACAGGATCAATAAGTGATGTAAACAATAGTAATATAATGTGATGTGAATGGTATTATTTGACATCCATTGAAAAAAATCTATTTCGTAAAATTATGACTATATAACGTTAAAACTGTGTTGAAAGTTCATGTTACTAAATATAATCAAGTGCCTTGGTTAGAAATGTTACTTCCCTATTTCTTTTTAACGCGACTTTATTCGAAAGTTATCGATTATGTCCCATCCGACTGAACCGATGATCGATTGGAACAAATTTCATCCGATTTTCATCACTACTGCCAGCCTAATTGCTTCTACTGAGCCTTGCCTTTTGAGAAAAAAGCTAAACTCAAACTTGGGAGGTTGGCCATGTTAACATTGCTATTGGCTTGGTACATTGTATATTATATCTCAAAGCAATTATAAGACATTCCACAAGTATTCTATTCTAGGATTTGAAAACCGGGAATTTTTATCGAAAAGTGAGAATTTATAACATTTTTGTGTCGCCTTGAAAAAGGCGACATATAGGGGTTACTTTTGTCGGCGTTGTCGTCGTCGGTGTCAGTGTCGGCGTCCCCTTAAGCTTGTCCGGAGAATAAGTCAGTCATTATAAGTCGGATTGACTTCAAACTTGATATGCATGCTTCTTATAATGACCCGAAGTGCAGTGCACAAGAACCAGTACTCTGCACTTCTTATTTTTTGAGTTATTATCCTTTGTTAATTTTCATACTTTATTTTTATCCGGGCCAATTCTCCTAAAGTATAAAATCTATGAATTTGAAACTTCATAGGATGATAGATCTCATTAAGAAGAAGTGCAGTGCAAAAGAACTGGTACTCTGCATTTCTTATTTTTTGAGTTATTGCCCTTTGTTGATTTTCATACTTTATTTTTGTCCGGGCCATTTCACCTAAAGTATAAAAGCTATGGACTTGAAACTTCATAGGATGATAGATCTCATTAAGAAGAAGTGCAATGCACAAGAACTGGTACCCTACATTTCTTATTTTTTGAGTTATTGCCCTTTGTTAATTTTCTACTTTATTTTTGTCCTGACCATTTCTCATAAATTATAAAAGCTTTAGACTTGAAACTTAATAGGATGATAGATCTTTTTGATAAGAAGTGCAGTGCGCAGAAACTGCTGCTCTGCATTTCTTATTTTTTGAGTTATTGCCCTTTGTTGATTTTCAAATTTCATTTTTGTCCTGGCCATTTCTCCTAAACTATATTGTTCACAAGGCGACACATCCGACTCGCGGAGTTCTAGTTTTATCTTTTTCTTTCTTTCTCGACATAACTTTTTCTCCTTCTGAAAAAATAGGGGGGAATTCTCAAAAATATGTGTGAATCCCCCCATCACCACTTCTAGAATAGACACTGAGTTTTTGAAATTATTATACCCAGCAGATAAAATTTGAACCTGTTGCAGTTGGTTTGTCTATTCATTCATCTGGATCTATATTTTATAATTGCCTTGTCTTAATTTTCTTGAATCTTAGCAGGCAATTGCACTACCCCTATCCCACTGAAACAGTACAAGGAAGAGGGGAAAATGTTAAGTTTTTGACACCAAAAAAAAGTGGGAGATTTTCCATCTTTTCAACTTGCAGTTTTAACCATTAAGTGGTGTATTTACAATCTGACTTTCCACACACTGAGTGTAGGGCCTAAAGGAGTGGTTTGAGAAGGCCTCTCTTCACTTGTGTTTAACAACTGTGGCTAGAATTGACTAGAGTATTACAATAATATACAGACAAACCTTTGTCAATGACCGCCTTTGAATAAAGATCACACTGTAAATAAAACCATACTTCGTTAACCCTTCATTGATTTAGTTTGATGTAGTAACCTCCAAATAAAGACCTCTTGTCTATTAAGGCCTTACCTTTGGATGGGCTTTGTTCACAGATTTACCTGTATGTTTTACAACAGCCTTAAAAATGCTTCTTAGAAATTAAGTACTGTTATACACCTTAAAGTTTGATATGATTTAATTAAACTTTATTTGAAGCGTGCTAGAATATTTTCTTTATCTCATATTTATATACATATATGTGTTTATTTTCATTTCAGATGATGAGTTTGCAAAGCCAATTACATTTCCAAACTATGAGGTACCTGTTAATTTCCGTAATTATCTGAAAAGGTTTTACAAACAGATCTTTGCATTGGAAAATTTTGGAGGTTAGTATCTCAGATTGTGATTTAATGAAGAAAAAATTCATTAATAATCTCTAACTCTTTATGAAATTCTGTAGGAAAGGTTGTGCAAGTTACATTTACAGTACAACCTGTGCAAAGCAACACCATCTGTGTAAAATATTGTGAAGTCTTTGTTTGAAAGGAATTGATTAGGAAAGAGGTTATTGGTCCACATGTGACATTCCACAGAGATTGCACTGTAGTTTTGGAAAGGCTACTTTCCTACTTATTTGACCAAAGTTGACTTTCCATGTTGTTTCATTTCTTGATCTATAAGCATTCTTACACAATGTATGTATGATTGTATGCTTTATTCCTTCTTCAGGTGGATTTGATAAAAGGACTTGTCACTAATCACAAAATATAGTTTATAATTATATATAATATATCTATATACTAGAATATATAATCAACAACAACAACAACAAAACAGCAACAACAAAACAAAAACAGACAACTATAACAATTGACCTTTGTTGTGGCTGATTTCAGACACAGTTAAGATATATATAAAAACAACAACAACCAAAAAACAAACAAAAAAAAACCCCAAAAACAAACGGACAACTATGACAATTGACCTTTGTTATGGCTGATTTCAGACGCAGTTAAGATATAACTATCTTGGGAACATGTGATATAGGAAATAAAATAGGTATTACCTGCCAGTGATATTGACGAGTTGTTTTATCTAGCTGCTGGTTCCAGGCTGAAATTAAGTAAGGAATGTCAAACATGGAACCCTTCTATAATTGTACACATCAATGTGCGCTTATATATATCTTTCTTTAAGTTCAGCCAAGAAGAAATTGATAAAAATATTAAATGTTGGCCAAGATGAGGAATAATTTATTTATTGATCTGTATTGTTGTTTTTGTATTTCAGTATACCTAACAAATGCTAATGGTAGTCCTGTGATACAGACTTTACTGCTTGTACTTCATAAAGTTGACCTTGACCTTTGTCAAAGGGTCATACATAAGGTCATCAAAGCAACAAGAATAGAGGATACTGCTGAAAGTGTAAAGTATGTGCAAAAAGAAAATTTCTGATTTTTCTAAATTAAGCTTGCTTTTTTCATCAACTCTTCTTGTTTCATTGTATGTGTTTAAAGTCACAAATATACTTTGTAAATTCACCAGCATAATATACAAAGAATAAGTTATCGTGCTGAATTTGCCATATATTTTTTCAGTGTAAATTTGAAGTAAGAGTGCTATTTATAATTTATTTCACCTAACAGGATGTAAAAAAATGCCCCAACTTATGTATATTTATTTACACATTTAGAAAAAAACCTTTTATTTTGTTGATAAGCTAAAATAAGTAATTTTCAGGTGATATTTCTGTTGTTATGATGTATGACATACATTGTATTTTCAGCATACCTCCTGTAGCATGTGATATGATTGGCTCATTTCTTGTTGAGTTAATTGTCTCCCTTAGTTCAGAAAAAGTTTACAAAGAACTTTTCAAGAAGCTCTTCAAAGGGAAGTTACTCCAGTTTGCAACACACCCATGTGCTAACTTTGTGCTGCAGAAAATGGTCAAACACTGCCTGGATAGAGAAATGGTATTTTGATGTTCTTTACTGTTTGAGTACTAGCTAAAATAATGATAGCCCTCTGTATTGAAATTGGAACCATGCAAGCCCGCTTATAAATGACGTCTGACTTAATTCTGAAGTATGGTCCCCTGCTCATAGTGCTCAATAAAAAACTGTAACTATATTGTAAGTGGCTAGTACAGGTCTTAACCTCTAGCCAAAAGTTCTAGCTGCACGTGAGTCATGCACATCTAGCTTATTTACTTACACTGTATCTAAAGATTATTAAAGCTAATTTGCTATGTTTAGAATACTGCAGAAATTTTACAGAAAGTGATCAGAGTTTTGGTATTGCAGGGTATGCAAACAAACAAATTTCAATGATAAAAACAATTAGTGACCACAGATTTTCCTGTTATTTTGTTCTCTTCCTTGTACTGACTTTAACAGACGAAGCATTTTATTGTCTATATGTCTTCTAGTTATTTGTTATATTGTCCATTTAGGACTACAGAAATGCATATATAAATAAATTTAATATTTTACTTTTTATATTTTACTTCTAAAAACTGATGGTCACCCGCTAGAATCTTGCCATTTGATAAATTTGGTTCTAATTCTTTTATAACTAATGTTATTTTCTTCATTGAAAACAAATTTGCATATTCATTACTGTTGCCTTTTGTTATTTACAATGTACTTAAAGAAAAAAAAGCCGTAAAGTGTATAGAGACTAGCAGTATGTTTGGAACTTTTGGCCAGCAGTACGCACCACGTGACCCGTGTTGCTTGTCACCTCCTTTTGTATTCATATCTTAACAATAAATAGTTCCAATTTAAAGTAGGGCAAAAACTGTTATAGAATATCAGCAGTGTGTGATGGTTAAAGTTCTCAGTTGATAACAATTCTTCAACGTCTTTGTTTTCAACCTACTGTGTCGTCATTAGATCATCACTGATTTTAAAAGTTTGATTTGTCACAAAGTTCAGTTTAGGTTTTTCATAAATTAAGAGATACATTACAAGGCATACTTAGTAATAGCTGAAAAATATCAATATACCTGTTTTGCATATAATGTAGTTTAAGTTATAATTGGCAATTTCAGTTTCAAACTATATTGGAAGAGTTAACAGACAGTATGGTGGAGGTTTTGAGAGCACAGTATAATGGTGTAGTGGTGGCTCTAGCAGCTACATGTGAGAACTTGCAGTGTGGCCAGCAACAGTTTCTACAGGTAGGATACTTGTCAATAAAATGGTTGGATTTTATGTTGCACCAACTCATTTTAGGTCATATTGCCACTTAATACCTATTACTGGTGGAGGAAGACCTAAGGTGCCCAGGTTCATGCATTATTTCAGGAAGAAAAGAGCACCTGAGAAGAATGTTCCATAAGATAGTTGGATAGCTTCCTCACATGAAAGAATCCAAAGTCTGTATCTGGCTTCGAACCCACAGCAGTGAGTGGCAAGCGGTTTTAAGTCAACCACCATAGCCACTCAGCCATTGGAGCCCCCCGGATTCTGGTCATTAAGTATAGGTTAAAGTTTATTAGAATGTATTTACAAAATTAAATTGGAACACTTGCTATGATTGACATGGTATTTTTATATTCATACACATTATATTTATACAGATGATACTGAAATGTTTTCAATGTGAAGAAAATGAAAGACAGGTGAAATTAGTTCAAGTCATTGCAACATTAACAACTTATGACGATTTCATGAAGGTAAATAAATGTATTCTGTGATTTTTATTCTAGTTTTTCAATTGTAGTTCACTAAGGAATAGCTAATATATGACACCTAGTTGAATGTTTTTTTCTTTCTTTTTTAACACAATGTTTATTGTGCAATGTTTGCACATCATTATTATTAAGCATGTTAATCACCATTCATGGCGTTGACCTTTCTTGAAAATTGCATTTTAATACACCTGAGAAAATTTTGGCATATGTTAATTAAGCACCTGGTCGTTCGTCAGTCCGTCAATCTCCTTAGAAACAGCAATGTAATTGGAGCTTATGGATTTTTTTTTAGAAATTATGTTTAAGGCTAAATGAGAACCACCTGAATAATTTGACCACCTGTCATTATCATTATAAAATGTAATGAACAAATAAGCTAAATGTTGAGTGTTTTTGTCTTTTTATTATTACAGAGCAGTGAGCCAGTATTGAAGAAAGTGAATTACCATGGTTCCCAGTTACTACAACACATGCTCCGATTTTCTGATACACATCTTTTAGCAACCAGTCTTGTGAATCTGGAACCAGAGGAGTTACTGACCTTGTCATGTGATCCATGTGGAAGTCATGTGCTGGATGCTGGATTTAAAAGTACTTCAGTTGATCAGAAAACTAAAGAAGCTTTACTCAATAAACTAAAGGTAGACTTGTTGTAATATTTTCAATAAATTAAACAAACAGGACCTCTATGTGGCTTTTATCATTGCTTTATATCGATATCTCTTACTGAAAAGCCTTTTTATACCAGTAAGAGCAAAATATTCACTGTCAGGGGCAGATAACCCAAAAAGTAGGATGGTGACCGCCCTAAATTTATTTTCATCAATTTGCTTCAATCATAATCTTTCTTTATCATGCAATGTATAAGAAAATTCTTTGTGCTTGTTTAAATTTTCGTTCTCTACACCTGGAAACGTCACTTATCAAGTGTACTTGTATTTAAACTAAGATCGTAATTAAGAAAAAGTATTTTCAGGATAAGTTGTTGGGAAATATGTCATGGTATCCCATAACTTTACTTTTAGGATCATTATGTATCTTTGGCCTGTGACAAGAATGGTAGCCGTGCCCTGGAATCTATTTGGAGAAATACTTCTATGAAACAGAAAGAAATGATTGCCACATGCCTGTGTGTACAAGAAGACAGAATACGTTCAGATAGAATAGGTTTCCATATACACCGGAACTTTGCTCTATTTCATTTCACAAAGAGACGCAAGGACTGGCAATCTATTCAACAAAACGATCAAAGGAAACGTAAAATGTTCCAAGATGTTCTTCATACAGGTATATGATATTTATAAATATGAGGGATGACCTGGAATTTGGGTAGTGTGCTATAAAATTTTTTTGACAATTATTACATCAAAAACAAATGAGCCGCGTCATGACAAAACCAACATAATGGATTTGCGACCAGCATGAATCCAGACCAGCCTGCGCATCCGCGCAGTCTGAGCAGGATCCATGCTGTTTGTTTACAAACCAATTATGTTGGTTTTGTCATGACACGGCTCAAATATGTCACTTACAATTACTCTGAGCACACATACAGTTTTTTCTACAATGTCAAAAAACTCTTTTAAAGAACATGTTCAAGGTCCAGAGAACACATTTTATTTTTTATAATAGTTCTCTGAAACATTATACTTTTCTGAAACCATTTGTAAAGATATTCATTAATGGCATCTCTTAATCTGTTTGTTGAAAATGTAAATGTACCATGTTTCATTAAAGTCTGCAACAACCTTCTGTTTGAGTTTTGAAGTTCATTCGATGATTAAACGTGATGTCTGGGAAGCATGTTCATGTATTCACAGAAGGCCAACCAGCTCTTTTATCATCTTCTATCTATAAGCCTCCTGTTATACCTGAATCTGTCATGGCATTTATACTAATGTTTCCCCACAGTTTGGCAAATTTTTGGATAATTTTGTCATTGTCAGTTACTTATAAATAAAATACCTCTGCATAATTCTGCCAAGATACAAGACAGCCCTTGTGATAATATGTAAATTAGATTTTAGGATTTTCATATCTTTGTTATTATAAATTTGAGTCATGTAGATATAAGCTTAACTGTTGGCGTTCCATGTTTATGTGAAAATCTTGTCTAAATTCCTCCAGCATACTAGTGAGATACCGAATTATTTGGCATAAATTATATTTTATATAAAAAGGTTATATTACAAGTTTGAACGTCTCAAGGTCTCAATGGCAAAAAAGAAAATTGTTTCTATATTTATAGAAAGTGATACTGAGATAAAATACAGTATATTATGAAAGTAGGTTATTTAAAGCACATGTAGTGTCACAGTCACTGTGGCTAAATATGAGGGGGGAAAAAAAGGTTTCAACTTGTGATGTTTGAGTAAATACAGAAAATTGAGGAAATGAAATAAAATTTGTGGTTCAGTTTGCTTAATGTATGTTTAGTAGATGTATTTAGCTTGCTTCTGAAGGAAAACCTCACAGACCAAGGTCATCTAGATAAATGTAGATACAATGATTTCAGTTTTAAGTTGAAGTTCAACAAAACCATGTACAGAACAAGTGATAATTGTTAATATAATGTAAGGATATAGTTAATTGTGATTATCTTTTTTTTTTTAAGATGAATCTTCGAAAAAGAAGAAAAAGGGCATGTACCAGAAACGAAAGACTTGAAGAAGCGTGATGTCTTAGTCATAGAATGTGGTCATTTATGAGTTATTATGTATAACGTTTTAAAAATACAATTTTAATAACATAAAGTTCGTCGTCTGTCTTGTTGAAGTGCTTATATGCATAAAATTCATGCTCTTTGCAAGAATATTTTGCTGTAAACATTTGCTTGTGCATCAGACTGGCAAAGTTCATATAACTTTTGTAAAGGGTCACCTGTGAAGTTTCCTCAAAATCAATCATGTGGTTTAGCAGCTGATATTGTGGAGAATGACAGACAACTTGCCATCTCAAATGCTCTTCTTCCAGCACTTTGTGCTGAAGTGATTGGGTTTTTACGTTGCACCAACACAGTAGGTAATATGGCAACTTTCCAGCTTTACTAGTGGAGGAAGACCTCCGGTGCCCTTCTGTGCATTATTCATGCACGAACAAGCACCCAAGTAGAACCACCAATGTTCCATAAGCTACCTGGATAACACTATTCCAGAGGGATCATAAGCAATAATGAGTAGTGACCATAATTTCTTGTCTGCATGATAGGCAAAATGGACCTTTCTAGTGTTTACAGTTTTATGCAAATTAGCCGATTAGCTAATTCAATTGCTCCACTGTGATATTAGTCATTGATTGACCAGGTTTACACAAAAGAATACATGGTTTTTCATTGTATTTGTGATACTGTTTGTGAGCAGCTAACCTTACAATAAATAGAAGTGTGTCAAATTTTTCACTGCTAAAATGGCAGATTCATGTAATCAACAGAGATTTATATCTTAGTCATTACACACTAGAAGCACATGTTTGTAAATCTCACACATATTTATATGTTTTCATAAATACATCTATATACATGTACACACACTTCTAATTCACTTCTTTTAATTCACCTATACAAATGTATAAGATCCATGGCAGTAAAACTTCTTAAAAAAAATTCTGATTATGCATCAAATCTTTTGAAAGTTATCTGGAAATAGCATATCTTCTTAAATAAAGATTTTGTTTAAGGTATATAAACACTACGTAATGTATCTCTATGACTATTCTCGAGGTTTGATTTGTAAAACAAAAGCCACAATGATGAGTCTACCAAGCGGAATATAACAAAAATATCTGAACTGACAAATGAAGACGTTGAAATATGAATGAGAAAGTATGTTTCACATCAACTTTTATTTAAAAAAGTAACACTTTTTAAGAGAATAGAAATACAATTTTTTAACTGCCCGATAGTAGTGTCCCGCGCTGAGTAAACTGTCCTGTTATTTGTCGTTCTGGTAAATTTGCCCCCCCCACATCTAAAACTGCATCATTTGACATTTACCCACCCACCCCATCATTGGAAAAGTAAAGGCGGACACTTCCCCCCACAGTTTTGAAATTTTCTAAATGAATGTCATATGCAGTTTTTAGCTTAATTATGTTTCAATGAATAAAAATGCAAGTTGAAAGATAAATGCACTATTATTGAAATAAATGCAGTATAATTTAAACATAAACCTTTAATAAACACTTAGCAAATTTCCAAAAGGGAGTGGGGCAGGCAAATGCAAATATCCAGCTTTACATTTTCATTAGGACAGGGAGTGGGGAAGGCAAATGTCCAATGATTCATTTATACAATGGGGTGCAAATGTCCTGGAAAGCTAATGTCTGTTTAACTTGTCATCACACATCATCTTCATCAGTATCTTTATAAGCCATATTGACTGAGATTTCTAAATAAAGTTCCTGTAACATGGTGAGAACACTGTCTTGTATCATATCTACTTGATTAGGTGGGCAATAGTCATCCGAGCTTGACCTGAAATTCATTTATAATACAAATTGAGTATACATAACAATAATTTAGTTGATAGGCATATTATGCCACAGTAATAAATAAATTTTAACTTCTTAAAACTGGTAAACATGAGTTTTATTATGTTTACAATGTTTTAAAGAATTATAGATGCTTGTGGCCTGAAGAAAGTACTAATTAATATGGAGTAACTGTCATAAAAGTAGCAAAATGAAAACAAAATATTATCTTGACATTCATACAAAATACTAATTCACTGTAACTCTACTTATTGCCAAAAAGCAACAGAAGAAAAATGGTTCAGGTAATTGGCCAATGAGTAACTTTTTGGATAATATAAAAAAACATCAAAATTAAAAAGCTTTTGAGAAATATAAGCATTTCTAACATATAATGGGCCTTTGAACATTTTTTTCCAACACTACCATATGTTGATTATAATTCTATAATAATCCAAAAATATTATGACATGTGTTTTATTACACCTAACAACTCATAATTTTTGGTATAGGATTGTTTATTCTAATAAACAAAAAGTCCTCTGAGTTCTGCTCTAAAATACACTTTTAATGCATAATAAACATATTTAATATGACAAAAAGAAATGGACATACATAAGGTTATAATGTATCCAATCAAAAAATTTCTTTTTTCTTAATTTTGACATGCCATTATGTTCCCCAAACCTAAAATTTCCATGGGGTATAACAATATCATATATAATGTGTGTTACCTTGCAATTGTTATAAGAGTTGGTTTAGAGAGATACGACAACATGTCTTGAGTGCTGTCAACAAGGGAGGTAATCTGAGAGTTAGAGCTGATATGATGAGGTAACTCTGTATCGTCACATGTACAACCTGCCTCGTGTAACAGCTCGTAATCTATCTTCGAACCTGTAGCCTTTAAATCCGAAATTAATGTCTGTATAAGCTCAGCCCTGCAAAATAATATAATATTGACATTATATACTTATATCATAAAAAGATAACATAAAACAAGAGGGCCATGATGGCCCTGAGGTCGCTCACCTGTATATAGGCCCCCCCCAACCCCCACCCCCCCCCCAAAGTTGCAGGGCCAATTTAACCTAAGGGCTTTTATTTGCACAAACTTGGTAGACACCCATAAGAAGATGTGCTAAACATCTAAGCTCTAGCTCATTAGGCTTTTTAAAAGAAGATTTTTTTTAAGTTTTTATTATACACATATAGTTAAAAACAATGACACCCCTGGGGCCGGGCCAGTTTTGACCCCAAGGCTTTTATTTGAACAAACTTTGTAGACACTTACTAGAAGATGTTTCATGCTTAATATCTAAACTCTAGCTATTTGGGTTTTTTTCAAAGAAGATTTTAAGTTTTTGCTATACACATATAAAGAAAATCAATGACCCCGGGGCGGGGCCAATTTTGACCCCAGGTCTTTTATTTGAACAAACTTTGTAGACACTCACTAAAAGATGTTTCATGCTAAATATCTTAACTCTAGCTATTTGGGTTTTTTCAAAGAAGATTTTTTAAGTTTTTGCTATACACATATAAGGAAAATCAATGACCCCCGGGGTGGTGCCAATTTTGACCCCAGGGCTTTTATTTGAACAAACTTGGTAGACACCTATTAGAACATGTTTGATGCTCAATATCTTAGCCATTATAGCTCTCTGAGTTCTTTAAAAGAAGATTTTTTAAGTTTTTACTATTTGCATATAGGGAAAATCAATGACCCCCCGGGGCGGGGCCAATTTTGACCCCAGGGCTTTTATTTGAACAAACTTGGTAGACACTTATTAGAACATGTTTCATGCTAAATATCTTAGCTCTAACTCTTTTGGTTCTTTAAAAGAAGATTTTTTAAGTTTTTACTATATGCATATAGGGAAAATCAATGACCCCCTGGGGCGGGCCAATTTTGACCCCAGGGCTTTTATTTGAACAAACTTGGTAGACACCTATTAGAACATGTTTGATGCTCAATATCTTAGCCATAGCTCTCTGAGTTCTTTAAAAGAAGATTTTTTAAGTTTTTACTATATGCATATAGGGAAAATCAATGACCCCCCAGGGCGGGGCCAATTTTGACCCTAGGGCTTTTCTTTGAACAAACTTGGTAGACACCCATTAGAACATGTTTCATGCTAAATATCTTAGCTCTAGCTCTTTGGGTTCTTTAAAAGAAGATTTTTTAAGTTTTTACTATATGCATAAAGGGAAAATCAATGACCCCCGGGGCGGGGCCAATTTTGACCCCATGGCTTTTATTTGAACAAACTTGGTAGACACTCACTAGAAGATGTTTCATGCCAAATATCTAAGCTCTAGCTCTTATGGTTTTTTAAAAGAAGATATTTAAAGTTTTTTCTTTCGGTTGCCATGGCAACCAGAGTTCTGCAGGGAATTAAATTCTTTGAACAATTTTTAAAGGTGACCACCAAAGGAACATTCCTGTGAAGTTTGGATGAAATTGGCTTAGTGGTTTATGAGGAGATGTCATTTAAAATAAAAGTTTACGGACGGACGGACGCCGGACGGACGCCGGACGAAAAGCGATCACAAAAGCTCACCCTGTCACTTTGTGACAGGTGAGCTAAAAAGATTACAGTGAGGTCAGCATGTAGTACTTGTAAAGGGGTATCATGAGAAAAAAATATAATCATTCAAACAAATATTGATAATCTATCATCATGTAGACTGGGATTTTAACATAGACTGTAATCAGTGATCATTGCCACTTTTAGAGAATTTTAATTTCATTACATACAAAGCCCCATATTGCAGATAATTATGATCATAAATTGCTGCAGAGGGGAAAAATAAATTTGCCCTAATGCAGGAGAAAAGTGATCACAATTGTAACAAGAGCTGTAGGCAGGACAACATTTCTCGAAGCTTGATAGTAAAACGAAAGCCTGGATGATGTAGAATTTTAAGTTCAGCCATACGAAAATATTCCTACATGTAGTGTATTATACACTGTGAAATTAATCTTTCTAGCTTTACAAGTGGAAGAAGGTCTGAAGGTGACCATTTCATGCATTATTTCAGGTATTAAACAGTAATGTCAATTTCAATGACCCCAAAGTCCCTGGAAAGATTTGAACTCACAGAAGAGAAGGGCAAGTGATTTAAAGACAAGCTATTAAACCACTGGACCACAGAGACTGTAACATTTTCATATCAAGTACAAGACTAAAATAAGGCTTCAACTATGATTATATACCTGGAATGTTTGATTTCTGCATTTTCATCTTTCTCTAGAAAAGAAAACACCTGCTTTAAG